CCCAGTGCCGGCCTGGGGCCATCACTATCCACTCCTCCTGCCTTTCACATGACTCTTTGGATGGCATCTCTATCACATCTCTGGACTTGGCGCTTAGGGAGAAGGATGAGTCCAAGTTTAGTTTTCTGGGAGGCAAGATCTGAGGGACCCCAGGGAAACTGGTTGGAAATGTGGAGAGAAAAGGTACGAATGCCGCTGGGACCTGGTATCTCTTCTGCATGGGGAAGTTGGGGAAAGGTACTGAGGTCCTGGAGAGAGATGTAGAGCAGTGATTGTGCCCATGGGGTTTTAATTTATGGGTGTGAGAATGACAACAGGGACAGACCAATGACATTGAAAGAAGATATTTATTTCTCACTTATCCCCAAGGAAGAACCACACCACTTAACACAAGGCCACATGGCCACTGAAGCATCAGATTTATAGGAGGCAGAAGACAGGAGTGAGGGAAAAGCTTGGGCCATGGCTTCTGTTAAGGTTCTTGAGAGAAATACAAGGCAGGGCAGGGTGACCAACTTAAACTTGGCTAGTTTGATTCCAGCACACCTGGGGCACAGGGGCTGGAATTTTTGGTACCTGATTTGAGGTACCTGTCCCTGGGTTGGTTTAGGACAAAGGAAATATTGACTTGGTCTGAGAAAGTTAGATAAGGAGGTGGTTCAGAGTATGGGTTCTGGATGGCAGGGGAGATAGAAACAAATTTGGCTGTTACCCTGGCTCTGTATTTAATGGGTGACAAATAGATGAATAGAAAATCTAACATCTAAGTAAACATAATTGATAAAGTTGCTCATGTACTGAACAGACCTAATTTTGGCAGGGCCGTGTGGTCTTTGAGGACGTGGCCATATATTTCTCCCAGGAGGAGTGGGGGCACCTTGATGAGGCTCAGAGATCACTGTACCGAGATGTGATGCTGGAGAACATGGCACTTTTGTCCTCGCTGGGTAAGGCCCTCACACCCACCAAGTGTCCCAGGTGGGCCTGTGTCTTCCCCCTTTTACCTAAGTGCGGCTCTGCCTTTCCTGAGGTGAGACCATGGGTGCTGCTGCTTCGTTTCCTGGTTTCCTGGCGCATGTGCTGTGGGAGCCAGGACTGGGCTGTGTACTCTGTACCCCTTTTCCTACCAGCCCCCTTCCCTGCTGGTCTGAGGCTGACAAGAGAGGGCTTAGAGTCAGAAATCTTGAAGTTGTCATGCAGATCCCAGCAGCCTTGTGTCCCTGGTCTGGTTACTCTGTCCAAATGCATGTAACCTTCATGTTCTAGGTGCCCGCTTGCTCTTGCTGATATTGCTGGTGACTTTTATGTGCCAGGAATTTCAGGAACTGACCTGGCCACTACTTTTGGGGGCCATTGGATTGATTCTACAGGACTCTTCTGTGAAGTTCTTGTGATTATAGGATGTGGGATGTCACGGGTGGATTTCTCTGGGTATGTGCTGTTCACTCCCTTTCTCTGTATTTTCTTAGGACTAGCCTCTTTTGTATCCCAGACATTGTCAACTTGGGCAATGGGGAGGGCCCTGTGTACCTAAGAGGGTGGGTATTACTCCAGTATTGGCAATAAAGTCTCAAAGGGACATGGCCCCGGTGCCTGAAAGTTGGGAAAAGATGTGGTATCGGAGCTGGGTTCAAATCACACTGGGTGCCTGTCCTGTGCTCACCATTGTTTGATAGCAGGGCCCCTGGCTACACCTCATTTCTAGTTTTTCTTCCCCATTGTCATTTCTAGTATGATTTCTGGCCCCTGGCTACTCCCACTCCCACTCCACAGCCCCTACTTCTGTGGCTACCACCTCTCACCTGTTTCTTCCACTGCACCCTTTGCAGTGCCCTCCAAAGTGTGACCTGTACTTTGGTGTCACAAGGTCTGCTTGTGTCCCTTTGTAGTCCTTGAACTTGAGCTCTTCTGTTAATATAGGATTTCTCTGAGTCTGGACACAACCTACACGCTGCTCACTAGTTACCAGCAGCCATGGCCATTTGCAGAGGAGGGAGTTGGAGATCCACTTCTCCTCCCTGCACTACACCCTTCCCCTGTGTCCTCACCCTTTGTCAGGGGTCCTGATCTTGAGCTCTGCACAGCTCATCTTCTCACTGGTCTCAGTTTCCATGCTTGTCAGCAATCCCGTGGCCTTATTTATGGGTGTATTTGACATACCTTTGTGTTGGGGTTGCCTCCTGCCACCAGAGTTAACATGCACGTCACTAGCATTTTTCTGCTTTCAGGTTGTTGGCAAGGAGCCCAGGATGTGGAGGCACATTCAGAGCAAGGTGTTTCTATAGGAATGTCACAAGTCATGACTCCAGTGCCCCGTGTATCTACCCAGAGGATCCAGCCCAGTGAGACATGTGACCCACTCTTGAAAGATATTTTATACCTGGTTGAGCACAGTGGAATACTTCCTGAACAAGAGATGTATATTTGTGAGGCAGAGCTTTTTCACCAGCAGCAGCAGCAGATCAGAGAGAATCTTTCCAGAAGGGGGGACAATTGGAGACCCTCATTTGAAAAGAACCACAGAGTTCCCGTGGGAGAGAGGACCTTCACATGCAGTGAAGGTTGGAAGGACTTGCCGGCCACCTCTGGCCTTCTCCAGCACCAGGCCCCTCAAATTGGGTGGAAGCCTTTCAGGGACACAGAGGACAGGGAATTTTTTCAAGCTGGACAAAATGATTACAAATGCAGTGAATGTGGGAAAACCTTCAACTTCAAACATTTACTTGTTGAACACCAGAAAATCCACACAAAAGAAAGACCTTATGAGTGCAACAAATGTGGGAAACTCTTCAGATATGGTGCCAACTTCATGAAACATCAGACTGTTCACAGTGGTGAAAGGACTTATGAGTGCAGAGAATGTGGCAAATCTTTTATGTACAATTATAGACTCATGAGACATAAGAAAGTTCACACTGGAGAAACGCCTTATGAATGTGACATATGTGGGAAATTCTTTAGGTACAGCTCTACATTAGTTAGACATCAAAGAGTGCACACTGGAGAAAGGCCTTATGAGTGCAGAGAATGTGGGAAAGCCTTTAGCCACAAACATATACTTGATGAGCACCAGAAAATTCACAGTGGAGAAAGACCTTATGAGTGCAGTGAATGCCAGAAAGCCTTCATTAGAAAGTCTCACCTGGCTCATCACCAGAAAATCCACAATGAAGAGAGGCTTGTGTACTCCACGAATTTGGGGAATTCTTCAGGTAAAACTCCAGCCCCATTAAATAACAGAGATTTCACAATGGAGAAAATTGGCCATTGACCACTTTAATTGGATATTTCAGCAATCCTATTTAAACTCATATTTTTATGCAACTTATCTCCAGAACTTACCATGCAAAAGCAAAACTCTATAGCTGTTGAATGACAACTCTTCCTCCCCCTTTGTTCCCGTTCTTGGCAACTACATTTCTACACTCTGTATCTATGAATTTGACACTGATTAGTACCTCATATAAGTGGATTCATCTAGTATTTGTCTTTTTGAGATTGGCTTATTAGGATAATGTCCTTAAGGTTTATTCATGTTCTAGCATGTATCAAAATTTCCTTTTTTAGGTAAAATAATTGTCTGTTGTATGATATACCACATTTCTTTATCCATTCATCTGTCAATGGATGCTTAGATTACATCCACACCTTTTAGCTATTGGAAATAATGCTGCTATGAAGATGTGTGTACAGATATCTGTACACACAAGACCCTGCTTTCGATTCTTTTTGGATATATACCCAGAAAAGGAGATGCTGGATCATATAGTATTTCTGTTTTTGACCTTTTGAGGAACTGTTTTCCATCATACTTTGCACCATTTTACATTCTCACCAATAGTGCACAAAGGTTCCAGTCTATATACTTTTCATCAACACTGTTCATTTCCTTATTCTGATTTTTTTGGTTTTGTTTTGTTTTGGATAACAGCTATCTTATTGTGTGTGAGGTGAAATCTCACTGTGCTTTTCATTTTCATCTGGCTAATGATTAATGATGTTGAACATCTTTTCATGTGCTTATTAGACATTTATTTATCTGGAGGAATACCTATTAAAGTCTTTAAAAAAATTTTTTTTAATGGAATTACTTGCTTTTTGTTGAGTTGTAGGAATTCTTTATATATTCTGGATGATAACCCCTTTACAAATGTATGATTTATTTTTTATTTTTTTTCTTTCTTAAATTTTTTACTTAACTTTTTTTTACTTTTATATCTTTCCTGAAGAAAAGCAGCTGGTATGTATGATTTTTTTTTTCAAGGAGTTACAAAGCTACTTTTAATACTTTGGGGTGAGCCCCACAGGAATAAAAAACACTGGGAAGGGGTAACCCCCTCACCCCCAGGAGTGGCCCAGGGGGAGATAGGCTACCTGAGGGGAAGAAAGCACAAAAGGGACCTGCTGCAGACTCAGGGCAAAGGGAATGCCATTGGTGCTGGGACCTGTGAGCACTACAGGAGGAAACGCAAGCGTGGTGGGGACTGGCTCCAGGCACATAGGCAAGAAGAGGGTTGGACACGAAGCCACAAAGCTACTTGGGTTCCTCCTTCTCGTTTGCCTTTTTCTGCTTCTGCTGCATATCTCTGAGTCCCTCTGCTTGCGGGCGGCAGCAGAAAGCCTGTCATCTCGGCGTTTTCCCTTAACCAAGTTGCTCTGCTTTTTCATATTCTTCTGGTGGGTGAGCTCACACTGGTTACCGCGGGTCATGGTGACAGCAGCGGTTTGGGCCTGCCTCCGTTGTGTTCCCTCGTCTGTCTGATGTTGCAGGACTCGCCCCCTTCTCACATCATAACCACAAATGTATGATTTTTAAAAATTATCTCCCAGTCCATTAGGTATCTATTTGCTCTGTATATTGTGTCCTTTGATGAAATTTTTATGTACAGGTGACCCTCTGTATCTGTGGGTTCCACATCTGTGGATTGAACTAACCATGGATGAAAAATATTTGGGAAAGTTAGATATGTACCTAAGAGAAAAAGAGAAAAAAACCTCAGGAAAACCTCAGATGTTTGCATCTGTAGGGAACATGTACAGACTTTTTCCCCCTTGTCATTCCCTAAACAATACAATATAACAACTCTTTACATATCATCTACATTGTATTAGGTGTTGTAATCTAGAGATGATTTAAAGTATATGGGAAGATGGTTGTAGATTATGTGCAACTACTACATCTTGTTATATGATGGACATGAGTGTTATATAATGTACCTGAGCATCAGCAGATTTTTGTATCCATAGGGATTCCTAGAACCAATCCACCTATAACCAGTCCCCTACAGATACCAAAAGATAACTGTTGTCCATTTATCTATACTTACCTCTTGTTACCTGTTTGTGTGTGTGTGTGTGTGTGTGTTTAAGACAGAGTCTCACTGTGTTGCCTGGCCAGAGTACAGTGGCATCATCATAGCTCACTGCAGCCACCAACTTCTGGGCTCAAGTGATACTCCTGCACCAGCCTCCTGAGTAGCTGGGACTGCAAGCATTACCACTCCTGGCTAATTATTCTATTTTTTGTCTCTTGTTTAGGCTAGTCTGGAACTCCTGGCCTCAAGCAATCCTCCCACCTCAACCTCCCAAAGCTCTAGGGTTACAGATGTGGCCATCATGCCTGACCAGTTACTTGTGTTTTTGATATATCTAAGAAATTGTTGTCAAATCCAATGTCATTAAATGTTTTCCATGTTTTATTCTAAGGGTTTTATGTTAATATTTGTAGGTCTTACATTTAGGTCATTGATCCATTTGATTTCATTTTTGATACAGTGTTAGGCAGGGGTGGCCTTCTAGGTCCTTCAGTGTGGCCTTTTCACTGAATCCAAATTTTACAGAACAAATCCTTTTATTAGTACATTTTTATTTGTCTTTTATATTTTTATTTTTAAAATGAATATATTTAAAGTACCAAAGAATAAAATAAGTTTCAATGAAATAGTCCTCCCAGATTGACCAGCACAATTAGAACATTAGTAACCTATAAGGGCTAAATACTCATGATTTAGTTCTAACTTCTCCCACTTGACTGGTGCCACTACTGCACGAGGCTGGTTGGTGAGGGTTTATGGGGAGTTGACTATGCCAGTCTGTTACTAGATTTTGACAACGGTGCATTGTGTTTCCATTTGGAGTGGAATTTGTGAATAGTGGCACAGCTCAACAGCATTTTTAAAATTCTGCCTGCTTAACAGCCCATCATGTCAAGGAAGACCCAGAGAACACTGAAGGAAGAAAACATTTTTTAATTAGGATTGGGAATTGCAATATTATCTTGTTTCTGCTAAGTATAAGATGATTTGCTTGCTTTGTGATACTGCAATGTCAACATTAAAGAAATTCGTGCTCATTAGCATTGTAACACCCATAAGGACCAAATATTTTAAATTGGAGGGGCGAGAAAGGTTATATAGCTGAAATGTAAAGGTGGAAAGCAAAAGCAAAGACAATTCTTTCAAGCAGCAATAAGACCTGGAAATAATGCCTCTGAAGCAAATTATAAAGTAGCTTATATACTTGGGGAAAAAATGGAAGCTATCCAGTGATGAAAAAATTGTGAAAAACTGAATTTTAGAAGTTGTAGCATGCTTAGACCCTTATAATGTTTCCAACAGCTGCCTCTTTCAGGTAGAACCATAACTGATTGGCAGCATGCATTAACCTTCAGCTTAACAACTTCATGCAATACTTCAAAAGGAAAATCTGTGTTAATCATTTTGGATGAATCAACTGATACTACTGACTTGGTTCAAGTTTCATACTTCTTTTGGGTAATAACAAGATTTTATGAAGTGTGCCTTAGGGACTCTTGTGACACAGGGAAGAGATATTTTCACCAGCTTTTAAGATAAATGTCATGAAGTTGGACTGAATTTGGTAAATTTAATGAGTGTATGTACAGATGGTGCACCTTCCATGACAGGAAAACATGAAGGGTTTATTGCACAGATAAAAAATGTGTCAACAGATCCAGATGCTCACTTTTCATTTTATGGTGCATCAGCAAAATCTCTGTGCTAAAGCTACCATTTTAAGTGATGCTTTGCAACAAATTATAGGTACTATTAACTATATTCATGCAAATGCAACACGGTATTGTCAGTTCTAACATGCTAAAGTTGACCAATGAGGTATTCAGTATGGATTTGCCGTATCAATCTAAAGTGCATTGGCTATCGCAGGGACAGGTGTTAGCCAAAATTTTATCTCTGTGAGAATAGATAAATTTTATGAAGAACAGAATCATCAATGTGAATTATTGAAGGAAGATTTCTATAGGAATGCAGCATTTCTGCGTGATATCTTGTAAAAATCAAAATGACTTGAACATTTGCAAGGTAAAACTAAATCTATATATGATATGTTGCAAAAAATTCAAGCATTTTGAAAAAAAAGCTATCTTTTTTCAAAACACTTCTTCAAAAGGAAATTTCAATGAACATTTTCCCCAGTTTGCAAAGGTCATTGATGAGCAGGATATGTGCAAATTGAAGAATACACAGCTGTTATAGACCTATTAATTGGAGAATACAATGAAAGTTTCACTGACTTTGAGAATCATGACATCACACTCTAATTAACATTTCAGCCTCACCTAGTTGATATTCCAAGGCACCTAAAGAACTAGAGATGGAATTGATTGAACTCTCAGATGACATGTTAAAGGCACTGTTTGATGCTAAGAAAGATGCAATTGAAATATGGGAAAATGCAGTAGAATACCCATGCCTTTGCAACATGCCTGAAAAATGCTTTCTTGCTTTTCAACCACTTATTGCTGTCAATCTACATTCTCCTACCTCACCCAAATCAAGATGCCCTTAAGGTCACAAATGACTAATGTCATCTAGAGGATCAACTGCAACTCCAGACTTCCATGCTGCAACCAAATAGTCAAATCCTTTACAGCAAAATAGCAGACACAACAAAGTCATTAAAAAGTTAGTTAACTTTAAAGTTAACAGTTTCTATTTTTTGAAATTATTAAGTACATAGTAGTTAGGTTTTTACAAAATAATGTACATTTTAAAGTATAGCTAATTGAAGTTCTTTGAAATGTCTGATTTGCTTACAGCTAAATCAATGTGGACTTCCAACATGAAAGTGTCCCCACCCCTGACTTACACAAAGCTGGCTCCCAATAGAGGCAGAGGAGAAGAAGGAGAAAATGCAAGAGCCAGAACAGGGGGAAAGAATGGGGATGAGAGAGGCAGCAAAAGAAGGTTAGGAAGAAAGCACTAACACCCCCCACCCCAGCATTGGCCACAGTGACCCTCACAGTTGCTCTTGTCCCTGAGGATGGGCCAGGCCACCTGAAATGAGACAGCCTCAGAGCTTGCGCCACTGTGGCTGTGGGCCCCGCCGAGCCTGTGGTCCTGGCTGTGGACCATGCTTCTGCTGGCGAGTCTGGCTGCAGTCCTGGGCACCACGCTGGGGCTGACACAGCGGCACTGGTCGGGTACCGTCTGCCAACACACCAGGAGGGTGAAGACTGGCCCAATAGGATTGTTGGCAGGATTAAATAAATAAGGTATGTCAGACATAGACTTATATGGGTTTTTGCCCTTCATCCAATGTAGGGCATTCGTTTTTCATTGTCGCCCAGATATAATAGGTAACATTTATACAGAGTTTGTGATGTGCCCAGCATTTTAATATGGGCATTGTGTGTTGTAACCCAGGGTGCAGTATAACCTTGTGAGGTGGGTACTATGTGCTGTTGTGATCTTGGTCTGGCACAAGGCAAATAAGGTGCAAATAAGTTAAGAAGTGCATGCAGGTAGTAAGTAATGAGTCACAGTCAAGGTTAGGCAGTTAGTTTCTGGTGCTCGTGTTTTTAACCACTATGCCATGTTCTCTCCCTCCCTCTCCCTTCTCCATCTTACTTAACTTCATCTCTTCTTCTCCTTTTTCCTTCCTTCCTCTCCCCTTTCCACCTTATATATCTCTCTCCCCTTCTATATGTCTCTAACTATAGAGATATTAAAGAGGACGTGGACATCAATATTGATTTCAGTGTAGTCGCAGATACAGAGATAGAAGTGGGCAGAGGTAGGAGCCGAAAGGGATACAGATATTCTAAAACTCACCTTACATTCTGAGATGCTGCTGTCCTCTGCTCTCTTCCTATTTTAGTGCTGTCTGTAACTTATTAGACCTATTCACAGTTAGTAAAACACTTAAGCAGGCTTCAGGCAAGAGCGGGTGCTCAGTTAAAGGGCAGCAGTGGTTTGTGCACTCATGCTTTCATTCTACAAACGTGCACGGGGCACTCAACAAATGTGTGCATGGTGGCCAGCCGGGGGCCAGGCCCTGAGGTCAGGCACCTAGCGTCTGTAGTACTGGTGGCCGTCTACTCACAGCATGAAGGAACCAGAGACTGTGCTCATCACCTATGGGCATGATTTATTTTAATCGTCATGTGCACAAAAGACTATAAGGTAGGTCATTCATATTTTTATGCTCAATTTACAGAAGAGAAAACTATGGCTCATGGTTTTCAACCCTTTTCTAAGCAAGTGAGGAAACCTGACTGCAGAGCCCACTCACTCACTATAGAGGCCACGATAGTCGATGGCTAGGGTTTTCATTTCTACAACCCAGCCGTTGCAGTGATTATTTCTACCTTTTTCTTTTTCTGTTGAAGCACAGCGCTCACACAGGGAAGAGCGGAAGTCACAAGCGCAGAGCTCAGCGAATGAGCACAGAGTTAACACAGGCCAGCAGACGCCGGGCGGGCTGAGAGAAGGTCCATGCGAAACACCCCTAGCCACCCACTGTGCCCCCAGCGCCCCATACCTGCTTTCCAAAGCTGAGCACCAGCCTCACCTGACACCATCAAGCAGTTGTGGCTAGTTTTGAGCTTTGGATAAAAAGAGACACATTAAAATGAATCACTGCTGCTCATCAAAAGACAGTATCAAGAGAAGAGAGCAAGTTGTAGAGTGGGTGGTGATATTTGCAAAATATATAACAAGGGCTTGTCCTCATAAAAAACTGTGCCATAAAATAATTAAAAATGCAAAAAATTCAATAAATATTGAGAAAGAGGCTCAAACAGGCATTTATCAAATTATTTCCTGATCTTCTGTGCACCAGAAAGTGTCTCAGGAGCTGGGATGTGGCAGGGAGAGGGGCATCACAGGAGGGTGCTGTGGGGCTTCTCAGTGAGGACAGAGGGTGAACACAGCAATCACATTTCCACCGTGAATAGGTGCTTTGAAAACAATCTGTGTGGAAGGTAGAAAAGATGACTTGATATTCAGAGCATAGCATGGGCCTGGCTTCTCCTTAATGTTGGTAGAATGAATAGAAAAGCAATAATTAAAATAGTTGGGTGGTTCCACAAAATGTCAAACATGAAGGAACCCCACGATCCAGCAATTCTACCCCTAGGGATACACCCAAGAGAAGTGAGAATAGAAGCCCACACAAAAACTTGTATATAAACAATTAGATTAAATACTTTTATTTTTTAAATAGTGCTTTTAAATACACTTGCAGTAAAATTTGATGAAAAATCTAATATGTTTAGGTTTTTGGCTTTTTATGAAGCTCTAAACATAATTAAAGAATTGGGTCAATCAGAAATTAACTTCAAATGTTAAAAATGAACAAAAATGATGTCTTACCTCATGTATTAGTGTTAAATATATATACATACATATATATACACACACGGCAAAAATCAGTGCACATGTGGATAAACACATTTGTGAGTAAAGTTTGTTATTGTAACCTCCTTTAAAAACTTGTACATAAATATTCACAGTAGCGTCACTTATAACAGCCAAAAATGGAAGCCACTAAAAAACCCCATCAGTTGGTAAATAGGCAAGTCATGCGCAACACATCCGTACAATGGCATTGGGAGTGCATATTAGAATGAAAAGGAAGTGGAGCACTGACGGGGCTACGACCTGGCGGGCCGCGGAAACAGGGACGAAGCGGGACCGAGCCGTCGCGCAGTGTGGCCCGCCGGTGCCGACTCCCAGGGCGGCAGATCCGCGGGACGGGGCTGGAGTGGCTGCCAGTGTGGGGGAGGGAGGGATGAGAAGTGACTGCTTTATGGGCCCAGGGTCTCCTTTGAGAGTGATGAAAATGTTCTGGAATTAGCGGTGATTGGCATACAAACTCACCAACGTACTAAAAACCACTGGATTTCACACTTTAAGTTGGGCAATGTGTACGGTATGTGAATTATATCTCCAAAGGTCTGCTGACACAAATAACAACAGCAGCTAATGTCTGTGACTCTTCCGCTTTGTGCCGGCACTGTCCTGAGCACTTCTGAAGAAGTAACTAACGGAATCTGTTTGGCGACCCGTTAGTTCTGTCCCACTTGAGTCCCGTTTTATAAGACAGTAAACCAAGGCACGGGGAGGAAGCGGCCATCTCAGGATCACACGCCAAGAAAAGGGCGGAGCCAGAATCAAAACCCACGTGGGCCGCCCCAGGTGCTGCGCGCTCAGCCATGCTGTGGTCACCGGGAAGCCCCGCAGAGGCGCGGGCTGGGCCTGTTTCCCGCCCAGTGGGGAGTCTGCTGCAGCTGGCCCAGCCTCCCCAAGTTCTTTCCCTTCAGTCGCCCCTGGAAATGGAGCTGCGTACCGTGGACTTCCTGTCTGTAAGGGCCTGGTTGCAGCCCAAAAGCTGCTGGCTCACTTGTGGGAGCCCGGATAACAGAAAATGGGCCCAGGGGAGAAGTAATCAGCTCCTGGAAACTGCTGGCTTGGGGCCCAAAGGTAGAGCTATCGGCTAAACGCATATTTCTGCTTCTGAGAATCGCTTGCTTGCAGCTGGACGCATAGGTACGGTGCCAGATAAGGGAGAAAGCCCCCTTTGCCGCCGGCGGGATACCAGTCCACCAATCATTTTAAAGACTAACACGCACAATCAGCTTGTGCAGCGCGGGTGTTCAAGAGGGAGGGGGGATAAAAGGGGAGTCCCAGCTTTGGTCAGGGTCCTTGCCTGTAAGAGCGGCCACTGCGCTGGCACTCTAGGGCCTGGACCCTGGCTAGCCAGAAAATAAAGCTCCTCTTGAGTGATTGCATCCTTGGTGTCTTTGTTTGTCTGCCTGGCGGGGTGCAGGAAGCCGGTCCCTAACACTGTCCACATGCCTGGGTCCATGTCCTTGTGCCCACACGCCTCAGCCCCCTCAGTTTCCCCGACATGACCAGGAGTCACAGGGCGAGGGGCATTGTGGCAAGGACGCGGTGGGACAGGAGATGGGGTGGGCAGGGGAAGTGTCAGGGGTCTCAATGCCGCAGAGACAGCTGTGGGTCTCCATGTGCACGGTAGGAGCAACGGAGCCCAGCCCTTCTGGGATGTCCTGGGGACACCGGATGTGGAAGCCCAGGAAGAGGGAAGTATGGTGAGACTCCTGCCTCCAGGGCGGGGAGCCCCACCCCCACCTCCTTCTGCCTCCACGTGGGTGCGGAGGCATGGAGTGGTAATGAGCAAAAGTCTCTGAGGATTGGCCCCCAGGGCCCTCACCTTGTGGTCAGAGCCAAAGATTGAAATCTCTGGTCTCTGGGATCCCAGTCAGCCCTGGGAACTCCTGGATCAAGAGGGTCATTAGAGCCTTGTTCTCAGCTCCAGACAGACCAAGAAGCAGAAGGCAGGAGGAAAGGACCCGGGCCAGGGAGGAGGGAGGGCAGGGGCTCCGCCTGGCTGTGCCATGCTGGAGGTGATTTGTGACAGGTGCATCACACAACTGTCATTTATTTATTTATGTATTTATTTATTTTGACATATTATGGGGGTACAGTTTTAAGGTTTCAATAAATGCCCTTTCCCCCCTATCCCCACAAATCTGAGTTTCCAGCATGACAATCCCCCAGATGGTGCACATCTCACTCATTATGTATGCCCCTCCGCCTGCATCTGGGACTGCTGGTGGACCCTCGCCGCAAGGGGTGGAGAGACCGCTGGGACAGCCAAGCCAGAAAACCCCCCCCCCCCCCCGCCCCCCAAAAGAGACACACCGCCCCCCCGCGCCCCCCAGCGAAACAAACAACACAAAAAGCGCCACCGCGCCAATGAGCAGGTAGCCAGGAGTGGAGACACAAGGCACCAGGCTACACAATACCTCGGGAGCTCCGTGTGCACAGACCCGAGCCACGTGGGCAGGCACGATATTGCCTCCTTCTCCCCCCGCACCCCCCGCCCCCCCTACCGCGCTGCCGCAGAGCACGAAATACAGCCACCAGCTGGAGGCACCCAGGGAACGGGACCTTCCCTTTTGGGCCGCCTACAGCTGGACTAAGGGGAATTCAGACGGTGAGCTCACTACCTGCAAGCCTCCCAGGTGGCTGCTGGCACCAGTGATCCCAGGAGAACGGGGCAGACCTGAGCTGAGAGACATAGACGCCAGCTTGGGCTCCCTGTGGTGAATTGGGAACCGGAACTCCTCTCCCGGTGGGGATACGTTTGAACTCTGGGGCCCAGAGGTCAGACCCTGCAGACCACATCCCTGGCCCGAGGCCTCGCCATTGCCCAGGGCACGAAGGGATATACGCAAACAGCCCTACTGGGGTGTGTGTGCCTTCAGGGGCAGTCAGCGTCCCTAGAGGGCAACCCCTCCCCCCAATGGGCAGGCCATACGCCCAGCCCAGGGGGCGTTCCTGGGCAGGGAACCTCCTTGCCGGCACCACAGGCAGGGGAGGCCTGGTGGCGCGTGTGGTCTGGCCTGCGGCAGAGGCCCAGGAGTAGGCTGCGGAGTTGGGGACGGTGGAAAAGAAACGAGGCCCCACTAC